CATGGCTGTGATGGCTTCTAAGGGCACATGAGACAAACTCTTGTTGATTGGCTGCCCTGCAGCCTTTCAAAATGCATTATTAAATCGCCGGACACCGAACTCCAACCTGAGCATACAGTGATATGTCCGTGTTCGGGTCCGGGGTCCAAAAAACGTAATGTTCGGTACGAACCCAAACTTTTCAGTTCAGGTTCGCTCAGCTCTAGCTGTTATATATGTATTAATAAAGTGAGTACTTCGTTATACAGGAATTATTGACTGATTTGTACAAAACATCACAGTGGCAGCAGGGATAGCGGAACGTTTTGATATAAATTGGTACATTTATATCCCTACATGGCAAGACCACTTACTATTATCTCACATATATATTATTATTCTTATTGAGCAATTTGGAGCAGTTTGTTTTTAACCGCTCTTCTCTGCCCTTGCTGTAGAGTGAGTGAACCACACTCCAACCTTTCTACAGTTACTCCAGCCACTCCAACCACACAACAGTTACTCAAGCCACTCCACCCAGTTACTCTGCCCACTCCAGTTGTAGACTACTGGTGGAGGCAAGAACACTTCATACAAGTTCCCCACAAGGCCTGCATTTGGGAGGGCACACGGGGTGGCACAGCATTATGTAGAGGGGGCCATGGCCCCCTCTGAGCCCCCCCAGGGATGCCACAGATCATCTTGTTGATGTAGATTGCTTTTCCCTATATATCATACCTTATCTACGTAGATCTATCCATTTTCTTCATACTCTTTTTTTGTTTATATACTGTGAACTCAGCACCTACTAGCAGTTCTGGATTAACACAGAGGCTAATAGAGGCTCTGTATTTATTTATTTATTTATTTATTTTTACTGCTCTTTACATGCTCTAGCTTTGGGCAGAGAAGAATATAATAAAAAAAGGAGAGAGAATCTGTCCCTTAGATAAAAATCTAGAAGATACTTTATTAGTCTAGTGTAAAAGACATTCCTAAAATAGACTACCTCTCATACTCTAATGTGATACTAATGGGTGTCAGAGCTAGACAGACCAAAAAAACATCAATAGGTACTAAGGGCGTTTATATAGAGGAATAGAGGGATAAGGAAAAACATGAAACAAAAAGTATGTGCAAATTAAAAGATCTTAATGCACGATAATAGTGGTAAAGTCTGGAGTGAGAAAAGTTATCTCCAGGACCCCACTAAAACAAACAAACTAATTACCACAGTAAGAATATGATAGTCTAGTTAATAACCAATTGTAATCACACATAGGTGATAATGTCAGTCTATTGTAAGAATAGTTAGACCGAAAATGTCATTATAGTTATTGACCGCTAGAGGTCACTATAACCATGGATTCTAAAAAACTGTTCACTTTGTAAAATCACAGAAATGTATCGAGTCTCAGTATATATACAAATAGATACACGACATTATCAGAATTGTCAAAAAAACAAGTGAACAAAGTATATCCTGTCCATGGATATAATGTGTCTATTAATACTGACAGAGTGCAATAACCGAATCGATCCGTTACATGCTCTGTTGCTCCTATGCTGAAGGGGCTAGAGTGCACATCAGATCGTGCAGTGCACTCAAGAATTGCCACCTAACAAGAGCAGCTTAGTGGATCTATTACGTGCGCTTCTAATACGGTGCTAAATAGGACTGCATAACCGGGAATGCTCAGTACGATTGATTCATAACGGGATTGATTCATAATCGCTCCCGTATAGAGTATGATTATGCACACAAAAAGAGGGGGTTTCACACTCTACTGTTTGTCAGATTTAGCAAACCAATAAATATGAATACGCTGTCAGGCTGATATTATTAAAGAGGAAAAAAAAAATCCATAGAATAAGAATAGTGCCTTCGTGGGCACTAGTTACAGTAAAGAGAGTATGACGGTCAAAACAGCAACGTAGTGAAGAGGTAAAGAATATCATATATACTGAGGTGTAGTTTGAATATAACAGTACCCAAGTCGGTATGTTGATAGCTATTCCGATATAGTTTGGTCGCTATATAGGTTTCCCGAATACCCATCTAATATAATCAGTCTTTTCACTGTCTATGCTCCTAAAAGGCTGATAATCAGCCCGAGTGAGCTTTAGCCAGGTAGGTGCCGAAACTCGTTCGTGAATTATTAGAGGGATAAAGGTCTAAATCACTAGTGGCAGTATATCTCAGTGCCACTAGTAGGGAATTGAGGAAAGCAAACGGCAATGTGATGAAAAAGTAATGTCGGTATGAACCCGACGCGCGTTTCGCCTTGTTTAGAGGCTCGTCAGGGGGAAATGACTCCCTGCATTGGTTGATTTAAATATCCTGCCCTATTGACTGATTGGTCCAATCTCGGCCGGGGATAAGGTGTAGAAGTACGGTAACTTAAAGGGGTCAGTAAGGTTCATGATTTATGAGTTATACAGACTGAACTACAGTCTTTTCTGATGACCATATAATAAAGGAAAAAAGGAGGGGATGTGTTAGTGTCCATTGCAATTTACTGATAGATCCAAGTGATGGGTGGTCAAAATTAGTAAAAGGTAGTCAGATATAATAACAGATGTCTTTTAATAGACATAAGAATGAGAAAACAATAACAGTTGTATCACAATGATTAAACCTAGATGACACTATAGAGAATAAAAGTTTAAGATTATTGTTTAATATCCTCAATATGATAATTAGTGTCATCTTTTAGATATATAAAGATAATAAGGACAAGAGAAGGTATGTGTGGGAAACCAAAATGCCATAAGAGGTCATCTACATTGTTAATGATTATATTATGATGTCACTGATGGGAACTGTAAGGAACATATATTCTGTGGCTTTTATTGTTCTAGATAACTCTAGAGGCATAATGTACAGTGAAATTACAGATGTATAAATGGAGTGTAATTAAATTCTTCATTCAGACCTGAAGGAGCTAGTGTAAGAAATTGATATTCCAAACTGCAATATTGTATATAACTTTCTGTGTATGTGACTGGTTTCACAAGTTGGGGTCATTTACTTGATAACAGTGTGATAAGGATCAAAGCTTTCAGTTGCATTTTACAACACCCAGCTAAAACAAAAGCTTACATCCCTCCAGTATTCCTTGCATGTTATCAGGAGATCAGAGTAATAGACATCTAGGTGAAACCATGGAAGTGTGTGTTTTCCCAAGCAGTCTAACCCACCCAGAAACCAACCCTAACTGGTCACTTCTTTCAGAACGTTACAGTATAGCTGGAGGGAAGAGATCAAAGGGAAAGACTTGTGTAAAGACAGAACTCTCTGGAGAAAGAGGGCGGGATAAACCACTTTTGGGAGGGAAAAGGGATTCTGGGACTTGTAGTTTATTACTCCAAGAATCAGTCTTTAAAAGGACAACAACCAACGAAGGCTCTCTCTCTTTCTCTCTCTCTCTTTGGAGAGGACAACGCAGCAAGCAGGGCCATGGTGAACTAAGAGAGGCTGTCCCAGATTACCCAAGATGAAGGTGCAAGGGGAAGACCTGCATTTATATGTTTAAGTATTGCCTTTTTATTATGTAGCTTTTGATTATGTACCGGATATAATGTATAATGTATATTGTGTATATCCTTTTAAAATCTAACAGTATCCTTAAATGAATATTTACAATACATTTTATTATACACTTGTGTTTATGTCTTATTTGTCACACATTCCCTAAAAGAATATCCTTGTAAGAGGGTCATAATTTCTTACAAATTGGCGAGCCAGGTAGGAGGGATTTAGTGTGATTTATGAGCATATTCATAATTGTATAGATTGTATATTTACTTTTGGATACTGTTCAGATATTGTGTATAGATATTTCAGTGAATTGTGCGTTGTCAATGATGGAGAGTTTATTGAAAAAGATTGCTAAGGTGTCTAATCCAGAAGCAATAATTAAATGTATGGATGGTGCATTAGATCCATGGCTTAATGCTCAGGATTATGTGGCCAGGGCAATTATTGAAAAGAAATTGTCAAAATCTAGTGGTAAAATTGCTTTGATTTATGCTGCCCGTTGGATTGCGGAGAAGTATAAATCTTTAAATAGGCAAAAAGAGAAATTAGAGGCAGACATTTTGAGTTTAAAGAATGAAGTGGAAGGTTTTAAACTGTCTGCGCAAAATGCTGCTGCTTTGTGTGTAGGTAGTCAGCAAATGCGTCTTGAAAATGAGGAATTGCGCAGTCATAATGAGCAGCTTGTAGAAAGGCTGAAGGATGCAGAGGGTGCTATTAGGATCCTTGCATCCAGCAGCCAGAAAGAGGCTGATCATTCAGATTGCATGTATCAAATTAATTTATTGAAATCCCAATTACAAAATAGAAATGCTGTTGTACCTGCATGCAATGCTGCAGAACCCAATACAAATGTTGTACATAACATAGAGTGTGGTGTTTTTGCAGATGTTTATGGTATTTGTGAGCGCAGTATGCCTGCTAAAATGGCACCAGTCTCTACAGAGCACATGGTGGATGCACAGGGAAATGTACTACATAAAACTACTGTGACCCATTCCTTAAAACATACAGAGGTTATTGCACTGAGCAAAGAACTGGGATGTATAAGCTTGGATGATGATCCAGTAGATGTTATGTTAAAAATTGATCAATTTGAAAAAATCCACAGGAACTTAAATGAATTGGATATTTTTGATGTTATAATTGCTAGTACAGACCATTCACTGAGAGCAAGTCTGCCACATGAGATATTTATAGAACCTAGAACCAAGCTACAACTTATCAAAGAGTTATTAAACGCACTTGGTCTAGAGGAAATAAATCATCATTTTGCTTTTGGTAATTGTGTGCAGAAGAGAGGGGAGTCTGCTCAAGGGTTTGTAAATAGGTTATTTGTTTTATTCAAACTGACTGCTCCACCTGGAGCACATGCTGATCAGAATGAATATGCATATAAGAAAGCATTACTTAATAGGATACTGCCAGACATTCGAGAGTTAATTGGTTTAACTGTGTCCCCACAGGACACCTTTGTAAATATACTGAATTGCTTAAAAAGGGCTGAAGCAATTTTACTAAATCAAGAAAAAGTAAATAAAAGACAAGTGTCATTGATACAAAGTCCCCAACCTCACAGATATATCAATCAGAGGAAGTCCCCACATATAAAATCCATTACATGTTTTAAGTGTGGTAGGATGGGACATATTGAAAAATTTTGTAAATCAGATGTGCATATTCATCATGAAAGGCCCATGTGTGATAGATGGACTCTGGGAAATAAAAATAATCACCCTAGGTGGAGATCCCAGAGAAAAGATAATAATGGTATCCCCCTCACAGGACCTTGGATTCCCTACCATGTGCTTAAAGCACAGAATACACAACTAAAGGCAGAAAATCTTTCTTTAACATGTGAACGAAATGAATTCCTTGAAAAACTGGATTGTCTTAAGGCACAATTAAGTACATTAGAGGAGATGGTTAACACAAAGAATCTGATAACAGATACAGTTTTTCTTGAATGACGTATTCTAGTTGTGTGTTATTAACTTTCTCTTGAAGTTAATTTTTTTAGAAAACTACGGAGATGATGCCAATTGAGAAGGAAGACAAATATAGACCTGTGAGAAGACCAACCATTTAACATGTTTATTTATTTCAGGAAAAATACAGTTCCAGTTTATAGAGGACCTTAATATGTAGTTTTATATAATTTTTTTCATATTAAGGATAAGCCTCTAAACTCATTCATTACAGTCAGGTGGTCCAAATTCCAAATTATTTTTGTTTTTATTAGTTTAGCACACCTGCACTTCCAGCTATGTTTTATTTTTGTATTTTGATACTGGATTACTAATTTTATATATTTCTAGATCAGATGAATTGTTGCCAAGGTGAGGCTTATACGTTGATCACACTGGAGAGATGTGATAGTGTAACTGTCTGTTGGTTTACAACAGTAAATATTTTTGTTTTTGTCTTTTTTTCATTTGGTTACCAACATAAATAGCCTCAAGCCGATTTTTGATTTTAATCTTTGAAAGGCAACAGACCATTGTCAGTTTTCTTTTAGATTGCACGCTGCCAAACTTTGTATACAGTTCAATGCCCATAGGTGATGGTAGCATTCAATCTACTTTTTTTTCTCTCTCCATCTTCTTTGATTTTGTTGTTTTCTAATGCTTTTTATTGTATTTCACACTCTAAAGGGAATATAGGGAAAACAGATAATTGCATATATTTTACATTTCCTTGGGTCAAGGTTGGGTGAACAATAGAATGATAATGGTTATTCTTTGTTTGTTTTTGTTTTAATTTATACTCTCAAGGTGGGGTATAGCATATAGACAAATTAGACCAGTTTGTATATTTTATATTGTTTTTGAGTCAAGGTGGGGTGAGTGACAATATATGATTTAGCATTTTCTATTTGCTCTATTTGGTTTTCCACAAGGGGTTAAATATTTATGGTTTTAGTAAGGTTATAGTAAATTATTTTATACTGTTATGAGGATGTATCCCTTAGTACACATTAATATTGGTTGCATTTTGCTCACATTTGTGTTTACAATGTTTTAGATGACCACTTGTGAATCCAGACGGTAGTACTGAGACAAGGATGATAATCAAACCACTAGTGATTTGCATAATGTAACACTGCGCACTTTCTGTGCTAAGAATCTTTTAATTTCCGGAAGCCAAGGGCCTATCGAAAACTTATTAAACATCCTCAAGGGCTCAAACACAAACCCACTCCAGCTATACAACTTTTAATAAACTCCCAATGAACGTACACCTTCACTCAGATCCCCACTCCAAACAATAAACTGTGTTTCTCCCTTGTGTGGTCTCTTTAATACACTATGTAAGTGAACAGCAAATTAACTGCTCTTGGTGTGAAAATACACCAGGTGTCATGGTGGGCAGAGGTCAGAGGCCTAATAGCCCAAAGTAAGCATGGCCAGGGTTAAAGGAACAGTGTGGTGGAAGCAGTGCTGGTGGCACAGGTAACTGAGCGTGATGGGAGTGAAATCTAATGGTTGCAGTGATGCTGAGCCTATGAGGGTAATGAAAGGTTACGGATATGGCTGAAGGAGTTCAAATTAATGGTGAAAAATGATAACTGTAAGTGCCTCAATGATTTGGCTAAATTATGCCTTGCAGTACCCTAAATTATAAATATATGTGATTGTCAAGTCATTTGTGTCTCAGTAAAACACATAATCATTTAAAACACACATAATTCAAATACTGTATTTCTTTGAGAGGGCTCATTTTCTTGTTGAGTCATTCGCCCTCTAGGTGGGGACTGTAAGAAATTGATATTCCAAACTGCAATATTGTATATAACTTTCTGTGTATGTGACTGGTTTCACAAGTTGGGGTCATTTACTTGATAACAGTGTGATAAGGATCAAAGCTTTCAGTTGCATTTTACAACACCCAGCTAAAACAAAAGCTTACATCCCTCCAGTATTCCTTGCATGTTATCAGGAGATCAGAGTAATAGACATCTAGGTGAAACCATGGAAGTGTGTGTTTTCCCAATCAGTCTAACCCACCCAGAAACCAACCCTAACTGGTCACTTCTTTCAGAACGTTACAGTATAGCTGGAGGGAAGAGATCAAAGGGAAAGACTTGTGTAAAGACAGAACTCTCTGGAGAAAGAGGGCGGTATAAACCACTTTTGGGAGGGAAAAGGGATTCTGGGACTTGTAGTTTATTACTCCAAGAATCAGTCTTTAAAAGGACAACAACCAACGAAGGCTCTCTCTCTTTCTCTCTCTCTCTTTGGAGAGGACAACGCAGCAAGCAGGGCCATGGTGAACTAAGAGAGGCTGTCCCAGATTACCCAAGATGAAGGCGCAAGGGGAAGACCTGCATTTATATGTTTAAGTATTGCCTTTTTATTATGTAGCTTTTGATTATGTACCGGATATAATGTATAATGTATATTGTGTATATCCTTTTAAAATCTAACAGTATCCTTAAATGAATATTTACAATACATTTTATTATACACTTGTGTTTATGTCTTATTTGTCACACATTCCCTAAAACAGTGATGGCGAACCTATGGCACGCGTGCCACAGGTGGCACGCCGGGCCCTTTCTGTGGGCACGCGGCCACAGGTTCGCCATCAATGCAGAGAAGGCGCCTGCCCGACCGAAACGGCAGGCGCCTACTCTGCTTCCGGGTCGGGAGGCAGGGGGAGGGCTCTGTGATGCAGCTCCCCTGTCCTCCCGCGCGATGCTGTGTGGAGCGTTGCCGCGCATTACCATGGCAACGCTCCACACAGCATGGGAGGACAGGGGAGCTGCTTCCTGGAGCCCTCCCCCTGCAGTGCTTACCACCACCGGACCACCAGGGATCGCTGTGTCCCCCCTCCCCCCACTTCATTAAAGGTAAGAAGGAGGGAGGGGGGTATACTGACACAGCACCCTTACCCCCCCAGCAGTAACCCCTACCCTCCCCAGCAGTAACCCCTACCCTCCCCAGCAGTAACCCCTAACCCCCCCAGCAGTAACCCCTACCTCCCCAGCAGTAGCCCCTAACCTCCCAACAGTACCCCCTAACCCCCAGCAGTAACCCCTAACCCCCAGCAGTAACCCCTACCCCCCCCAGCAGCAACCCCAACCCCCAGAACCCCACCCCCCCAGCAGTAACCCCCACCTCCCAGCAGTAACCCCTAACCCCCCCAGCAGTAACCCCCACCCCCCAGCAGTAACCCCCACCCTCCCAGCAGTAACCTCTACCCTCCCAGCAGTACCCCCTGCCCCCCAGCAGTACCCCTAACCTCCCAACAGTGCACCCCTAACCCCCCAGCAGTAACCCCTCACTCCTCCCCAGCAGTAACCCATACCCTCCCAGCAGTGCAACCCATGCCCTCCCCAAGTAGCAGTAACCCATACCCCCAGCAGTAACCCCCTAACCCCCCATACACAGTGCACCCCACCCCCAGCAGCAGAATCCCCTACCTCCCAGCAGTAACCCCCTCCTCCCCAGCAGTACCCCCCAACTCCCCCAGCAGTACCCCTACCCCCACAGTACCTCTACCCTCCCAGCAGTGCAACCCCTCAACCCCAGCAGTACTCCCTACCCCCATGTACACAGTACCTCTACCCTCCCAGCAGTAACCCCTCTACCCCTCCTCTCTTGGAAAGGCAACCCCCTACCTCCCCAGCAGTAACCCTCTAACCCTCCCCAGCAGTACCCCAACCCTCCCAGCCGTACCCCTACCCCTCTCACACAGTACCCCTACCCTCCCAGCAGTACCCCTACCCCCCACACACAGTACCCCTACCCCACACACACAGTACCCCTACCCCCCGCAGCACCCTTACACATATAGCACACACACAGCACCCCCCCCACACACACACACACACAGCACCCCTCACATACAACACTCACACACACACGCACCCCCCACCTCAATGCAGTATGTGTGTATTCAGCAGTGTGTGTGTGTGCGTGTATTCAGCAGTCTGTGTGTGTTTGCGTGTATTCAGCGGACTGTGTGTGTGTACTCAGCAGTCTGTGTGTGTACTCAGTAGTCTGTGTGTGTGTGTGTACTCAGCAGTCTGTGTGTGTGTGTATTCAGCAGTCTGTGTGTGTGTGTGTATTCAGCAGTCTGTGTGTGTGTGTACTCAGCAGTCTGTGTGTACTCAGCAGTCTGTGTGTGTGTACTCAGCAGTCTGTGTGTGTGTGTACTCAGCAGTCTGTGTGTGTGTATTCAATTGTTGAAATGTTTTTCCTCTATACTGGACACCGCAACTGCACGTGATTAAATAAATAAGTTGTGTAGTACTGCAATTTACAAGAGCATTGGTGTCAATTTTAATATGGGTCTGTGTGGACACAACCAATTTTGATGGTAAAACATATTGACAAGCCTTACAATGGCCGCATTTAACAGTTCCCTTTAGAGAAGATAGCCAATTAGTTGGTGGTGAGGGAGATGTCAAATGACTGTGAACTAATTGATCATAAAGATTAGTTGGTCTGCGTGCTGTTAGAGATGGATAATTTGGTAAAATTTTGTTTAGCACTGGTTATGTAGAAGGATTGGCCAGTTCCTTTGTAGGATGGTGGTCATGTTCTCCCAACCTTGATCAAAGGTGGCAATACAACGAGGTGCCTTGGATTGTTGTACTGGTCTCGAAAAGTGAAGGCTGGAGTGTCTATCTATGCCACACACTCGCTTAAAGGCCTGTTTGAGAACTCGATTTGGGTATCCCAATTCCTTAAAACGTGACTTCAAAATCTTGCATTCATTATAGAAGGTTTGATCATGTGAACAATTACGTCTCACTCTGAGGTATTGGCTATAGGGAATGGAGGCCTTTAGGCGGTAAGGATGGTGGCTCGTCCAGTGTAGTAAGCTATTGGTAGATGTCTCCTTCCTAAACAATTCGGTCTGAATGGTACCATCTTGTTCCAATAGGATCTTTAGATCCAGGAACACTAGTTCGTGTTCATCGATTACATGTGTCAATTTCAGATTAATGTCATTGTCATTCAGCATTTTAACAAAATCTTCAAACATGGGGACGGAACCTGTCCAAAGGAGCAACATGTCATCAATGTATCTATGCCAGCTCAGAATATATTCATGTAAGCGACTGAACCTAGTGGCAGTGACGACATGCTGCTCCCACCACCCCAGGAATAAAGGTATAGGTGGGTGCACAGGCCGTCCCCATAGCAGTGCCAGAGATTTGGAGATAAAAAGATCCATTGAACACGAAATAATTATGTGTCAGGATGAACTCAAGGGCGGCCAAAATGAACTTCTTTTGTGAGTCATTGTATGGGGTATTGTCAAGAAAAGAACTACAAGCCCTTAAACCCAAATGATGGGGTATGTTGGTATATAGAGAGACCACATCCAGACTTGCTAACTGAGTATACGGTGGAACAGTCATGTCCTGCAATGTGAGGAGAGTGGACTTAGTATCTTGGAGATACGATGGTAATTTTAGTACCAGGGGATGTCAAATCTTTTCCACAAACTTACTTAAGGCTTCTGTAAGACAGTTATTGCCAGAAACAATTGGTCTGCCAGGAGGGGGGCGGGTACCCTTATGTATTTTTGGTAGGCAGTAAAAAGTGGCAATAGTTGGAGTTTTGTTGGGTAATAGAAATTTAAGTTCATCCTGGTTAATGATCTGTTGATTTAGAGCGTCGTGTAATAATGTTTCCAGTTCATTGGCATATATGCTTGTAGGGTCAGAAGGAAGAGTTCTGTAATAAGCGATGTCATTCAGATGACACATGCACATGTCAACATATTCAGACCGATTTAGGAGGACAATATTGCCACCTTTGTCAGCTGGTTTAATTATAAGATCAGTTTGCTGTTTTAAATCTTGAAGAGCCCTACATTCGGCAAAGCTCAAGTTGTTTATGGTACGGCAAGGCTTGCTATTATTTTCAAATTCATTAAGTGACATTTGGAGAAAAAGGTCAACATGAGGAGTGTCTGAAAAGTTAGGGGTAAAATAACTTGGTGGCTTAAAGTCTGTTAATGGATCATTTTCGTGCAAAAGGCTGTCCAAAATTTTAGACATTTCGTATTCCTGTGTCGTAAGGCCCAATTCATTTGCCGCCACTTGGTCTTTTTTAGCATGCAAGATATTGAGGGCGAGTTTTCTGCCAAAGAGATTTAAGTCTTTGGACCAGTTAAACTTGTTACACTTTGGGGTGGGTACAAAAGATAGTCCCTTATTGAGCAAACTGATGTGATGTGCTGAAAGCTGGAAATCTGTGAGATTAATAATTTTATCTGGGATTAAGTTCTTGGCGTCCGATTTTGGGTCTTGTATGACCAGCGATCCCTGTCTCTCAAACGTCCCCGTTGTTGGTATGGTTGTTGCTGATCTAAAAAAGGATTCGAAGGAGGGACAGTAGGAATAGAATTGTTCGTATCCCCTGAGATGGGTATGTCCAGAAAGGAGACTACCTTGTCAGAATTTTTAAGGATACTCTTATTGGAGTTTAGCTGTGAACTTGTGTCTCTTGTTTGTGTTCTATTCCGTATAAATGGGGATCTCCGTCTATTCTGTGATTGTTGGTCCTGATCTGACCAGTCCGTTTCACCAGAAGAGGAGCCTCTATAGCTATTTTTTCGCCTCGTATTTTTGTTAGTTTGTCGGAAAATGGTCCCACTTTTGAAATCTTTAAAATCTCTTTGAAATTTATTATGTTTTTTAATTTTTAAATGATGTCTGAAATTGGTGATGTTTTGTTGCAATTTAATTTCCATGGGAGTATAAAGATCGTCCGATTTGTACTTTTTAATCAGAGCGATTTCTCCCTTCAGTTTAAGGTTACTTGTCTCAAAGATATTTGTTTCCAGCTTAACCAGAAAATCCATCAATTTAAAGGAACAGCTCAATAAAATTGAATTCCATTCACTGAGCTGTTCTTCAGTCTGGATTTTGTCTTGCAATAAAATGTCAGGGCGAAGTCCTCTAGGAACTAGTTTCTGTTCAAGATACTGTTTAAGACTAGTCAGTTCCCAGAAGCTTTTGATTTGTTCCTGGTAGATCTTCTGAATCTCAAAGAATGCAGTGTTGATATTATCATTAATAGTTCCTTGTGAGGATAATGGATTAGTTGAGAAAACATTTGTGATTTCCTCCTGTCCTAAGTTAGGATCACCTAATTTGTCTAGGAGGTCAGTCATTTAGAAAGACGAACTAGTATAAGATGACAACAAATTGTTGGTGGTGATCGAAGTGACCCAATAAATATGGGATAGTTATAGGAGACAACTAGTTATTGATTGCTGTTAAAGCTAGTCAGCAAGGCCAATTGGGTATTAAAACCTAAGAATAACATAAGAAAAAAGAAGAGAGTGGCAATGAGATTGTCCAAATATAGAAGACAAAAAATGAGGGGGTAACCCTAAATAATTGAAAACAATAAAAAAGGAGAGAGAATCTGTCCCTTAGATAAAAATCTAGAAGATACTTTATTAGTCTAGTGTAAAAGACATTCCTAAAATAGACTACCTCTCATACTCTAATGTGATACTAATGGGTGTCAGAACTAGACAGACCAAAAAACCATCAATAGGTACTAAGGGCGTTTATATCGGGGAATAGAGGGATAAGGAAAAACTTGAAACAAAAAGTATGTGCAAATTAAAAGATCTTAATGCACGATAATAGTGGTAAAGTCTGGAGTGAGAAAAGTTATCTCCAGGACCCCACTAAAACAAACAAACTAATTACCACAGAGAAGAATATATATTGGAACTTAGAATGGCTGCAAGCATACAAAGCTAGTGTGGTCTGGTTGGCTATAAAATAGTTAACAAAAAGTGGATTATGTCCACTGTGCAAATGCTCTTTTTGCTTCAGTCTCGCTACAGTGTGGCATGTTCCCTTTCTGCTACACTCACTACATCTGCCCTTTTCTCTGTTGCAGGCTGCGTACCAGGAGCTCCTGCTTACTAGTAAGAAGGGAAGGAGAGGAGTGGATGAGTGCGGAGGGACACCACTGACCTGTCTCCAGAAAGCATATAGTGAGCACATCATTAGACTTGTTTGTGCCAAGCTCAGAGTGTTGACACTCCTTTGATAGGAGGGCCTGCGAGATTGTCAGGCAGGCTGCCATGCATTCCAGGTGGGTCTGCCCTTTTGGGCAGTAGTGGTAACATAATTAGCATCACTGGCTCACCTCCTTTTATCCTGCACACCAACTTCCCACTGGACAATATTTTTAGGAGTATGGATTTGGTTGAGATATGAAAGCAAGAGATTAAAAACAAAAGGTATGTATATTCTCATAAATGCATCCTATTAGCTTCCCTCCAGCATCACCTCTACCAGATTCACAGTTTTTTGTTGGTAGCATTCTATAATTAGGCCCATCATAATTTTCAGGACCAGGCACAACGGGCTCTTAACTCCTTAGTGACCAGACCATTTTTCAATTTTCTTACCGTTAAGGACCAGGGCTCTTTTTACATTACATTACATTTGTGTTTAACTGTAATTTTCCTCTTACTCATTGACATATTATATACTGTTTTTCTTGCCATTAAATGGTCTTTCTAAAGATACCATTCGTGACGAAGTGCCCTTCGCCACTTGTGCCTGGAGGGGACTACTGGCTAGCCTCCTGCCTTCCGACTATGGCCCATGTGCCGATAGCTGTATTTTCCCCTGCAGAAAGGTTTATTTGTGTATTTCTGCTGGGGTGTTCTGGACTTTCAGTATGGTAGTAGTGCTATCGCAGATAGCTATGCCATGGAGTCTATTTGTGTAACAAAAGACTATGGAAAAGACTTTGGCTCCATGGTGATTGAACTGTATGTATGTGATCTGAGTGCCATTTCGTAATAATGTGCGCTCAGATCTAAGCTATCTGGGGATATTTTGCATGTATATGTTTTATGTAGTAATTGTAACATTGTATAATTTTATGTCTTTTTGCAACCATGTGTTCAATGGAGCTTTGCCTCTGTCCTTGGAGATAATTGGATTACTTCCCAATTGTCTCCAGGATAGAAGACACTGTGAAACTGGTTTTGGGCAGAAAAGCCATGCTTTATTTGGTCACAAAGGACTTTTGACTAACTTTTGAACTAATGGAAGGATTTGCATGATTTTTGGTTATGTTTATATTTAAAGTATACTGATTCTGAATATGTATGTTTTATGTGAATATGAGGCATATTTTTAAATTTACAGTATATGTGTAGAAAGTGTATTTCTCCTGCCTGTGATAAATTACATTAACCCATTGTGTTCAGTATTATTTCACAGGCAGAGGGGAGGGATTGTATGTTGGTGCTGGGTGTGTTTTACGTTTTTTTTGTAAAGATTGGTTGTACTATGTCCCACTCTGTGGGATGTCCCATTGCATGGGGACTTGCATAAAAGCCAGTGTGTGGTCATTAAAATCAGATCATCTTGTACCTTTCTTGAAGCCTTGGCTCATGTTTGGGGGATTGGAGAACTACACTCTGGGGATTGCTATAATCACTATACTTCCCAGGGTATGATCACTAAGCTCTGCTAAAAGCTTGTTCCTGTTTCTGCTCTCTGGGGAAAGAGAGGTTCACCCACTGGAAGCTGTATCCTGGCCTTGGGTCCAGGGTGGGTGGAGATAGCGGGACCCTGGCGCAGCTGCATCGCTGGAAGTGGGGTCTGCATTGCTGATGGTGTCGGTTGGAGTGCTTGGAGTCCTCAGCGAGCACTAGGAGCATCGATTGGCGGAGGTACTCAGTCGGAGTGCCAGCGGTCCGTCACACCATTATTTCCATTATATCATATCATATACTATAAAAACAAATATAAAATATAATGAAAAAATATAAAAAAACACACTTTTTCGAACTTTGACCCCCAAAATCTGTTACACATCTACAACCGCAAAAAACACCTGTGCTAAATAGTTTCTAAATTTTGTCCTGAGTTATGCCCAATGTTAACATGTTCTTAGCTTTTTTTGGAAAGTTATAGGGCTATAAGTACAAGTAGCACTTTGCTATGTGTATATATCTCAAAGTGCACTTATAATGAAATGAGAAATATGTATAATATATTATAAAATGTTTTAATTATTTTACAAGATATTATACATATATATGTATAATATATATATATATATAGATAAATATATATATATATATATATATTTTGCTTTTTAGCAGCCTGGGGGACTGTCTAAAAATTATTTTTAGTTTATTTTTAATTATTATTTATTTTTATAATATATACAAAATATATATAGTCATTTTTATATATATATATATATATATATATATATATATACATACATGTGTAATTTTACTCTAAGTGTATTTTTATATTAATATATGTATATATTAATTAAAAAAATAGGCTTAGAATGACATTATATATGATATATATACGTGTTGTGGAGAAAAATATTAACCCAATCCATGTTAGTAAAATGCCTATTTACTCAGCATAACTACAATCAGCATTATTCAACTTTCTATGTGATTTACCTAAAATGGCCGTTAGGGAGTTTCTTTTTTGACATCGACTAACACCCTCATTAACAAGATGGCGCTGGAATCTGGGGGAGACCTCCAAGATGCCAGTGACATCACACCCCGTAGGAAGAGCACTAAATGAACCACTTAAAACCTATCCAATTATTGATGTATTATTTCATGTTATCTCTGACAATGCATATGATGTAATTTTGCTTTATAAGGGACATGCCGTCCCCTCAGAATAAACATTCCTCAAGTTTTTCATTAACCCAAAACTTGTGTCTCGTGTGAATTACTTTAGGAGCGTGCACGCATTACTTCTTTAATTTGGCCGGGGGCAAATACGCAAGATAATCAATTTATTGATTGATTCCACATCATTTGGCGCCCAACGTGGGGCACCGGATCTCGCCGGTTCGGACAGCCGGAAAACGGGACCGGAACTGACCCCCCGGAAAGTGGGACAACTGGAGCCTGATGACCTCCTAATACAGCGGTTTGCCTGTATTCTCCTGTTTTGTGTCGGTCTGTCTCCGTTTCCACTTCCGGTTTCCAGAAGGCTACAAGACAGGTAATCTCTTATCCGGTGCATTTTAAAATGAACCTGTCGATTGCCTATCTGCCTCTTGAGTGTATGTATTCATGTGAGACGGCTGGTGTAGTTTATGCTTTTTCATTATTATAGCTTGACTGCCTAGCGGGCAGGGAACGCATCCGCCCGGTAAAGGGCTGGGAACGGCCCAGAGAAAGGCTGGGAATTTTGTCCGCCCGGTGAAGGGCTGGGAACCGCCTAGAGAAAGGCTGGGGATTTTGTCTGCCCGGTGAAGGGCTGGGAACCGCCTAGAGAAAGGCTGGGGATTTATTATAGCTTGACTGCCTAGCGGGCAGGGAACGCATCCGCCTAGAGAGAAGCTGGGAATTTTGCTGTACTGTTCAGAGTAGAACAGGGTTCATTTACTGTTTAGTTGTTATTATGTTTTTAGTTTTACTGTTCTTTGCTATATTATATCTTCTATTCAGTTGTAGTCATAGTGTGGGTACCCTAGTCGTGTGTGTGTGTGTTGTGTGGTTTGTCCTTGATTCCGGATTATGTGCACATCTCTATATCTGTGACTCATGTAAATGTCTTCTGATTAGTCTCTCCACGTTCACCTTTTCCCTTATTCTCTCCCTCTCCTGTACTTGTTGCCCAGAGCTGTGTTAGTCACCCATGCTCGCCCGCTCAGATCCGTGGCCACCATCTCGGGTGGGTGGATCCTGTGACTAGTCTACATTTAGGGAAGACGCACAGGAATCAATTCCTTGTGGCAGTCAAGCACTGTAGACATTCATTATTTCTCTCTCTCTCTCTCTCTCTCTCTCTCTCTCTCTCTCTGTCCCTCTTACAGGGAAAACCTTGTTTGGTAAAAAAAAAAAAAAATGGGACAAGAACATGCCAGACCTTCTAAAGGCTATTTAGCTTGTGATATTGTTAAGGAGAGAGCAGGAGAAGAAGCTATGTTAAAGATAAAAAAGATAGCAAAGATTTGTGGTTTTCAAATGTCACCCAGTGTTAGATTGCAGCCAGAGTTTTGGAGGAAGTTGCTCATTGATAAAGAGTTGCTATTGGATAATGGGTTGACGAAAGCCGTGGAGGCTTGGTATCAGGTCGCAAGAGGACTCAAGCGGGAGGGTTGGTCAGAGCAAGAAATGGATTTTGAAGAACAAAC